CATATGCCACGTCATAATAAGGGTTATTAGACACACTTTGATGCTTTTGATGGAGGGGTGCAGTGTGACTTGAGCCATGGAGGTTCAAGACAAATAGACTGACATTAATCGAGTTTATAAACAAACATCTCACTCTCATTTTATTTTTTTTATCATGCCAATAAGGCCACAAGCAAGCTCTAGCATTTGACATAGTGGAACATGATGCGGCCTGTGGCTTACAAAGCACTCCAAGATGCACCCTGCAACTGTCATGATGGGATGCTGCTTGCATAGCAGAGATTCAAGAGAGAGAGATAAAGCTTGAGGAGGCTATACTAGCTATTATTGGTCAAGCTAGCATCTTGCACATGTGCACGGTTGTACTAGGGTTATGTGACAAAACTAAAAGAGAGTTTTCGTAGGAGGTTACAAAAAAGGGCTCAAGACATGCAGACGTGAGTCATTATGTAAAGAGGTGATGTGAGTAAGTCTTCGGGTCTATTTGGGGCGCATTTAGCTTTTTGTGAAAGTAGTTGTAAAACTATGAAACAAAGACACTTCCAAATGCTTTTCATATTTGTGTCGAACACGAGTCAAACATGGACACATTTCCAAAATTTGTCGCTTACTATGAAGATTTTGTCCAATTTTTTTTAATTTGAAATTGGACTGCGAAACTTATTGATCGTGATGGGACATGGGCTGAACACTCAGAAAGAAAGAACTCATAATAGTGGAACTCAAAATCAAACCCATGCAAAGAGATTAAAACATGTATTATGTATGCTACTTGCCCTTAACCATTTGCGGTGCAATCTCACATCTACACATCTTTAGTCGAAGCCTTCTTACATCTCCAACTTTTATTTAAAGTCATCTCATGTCTCCACCAGACATGATAGGACACGCAACAAGCCAACCCTCTTCTACATATAGCCTTACCTATCTTTTCTTCTACATGCATTCGTACAACCATCTTTGCATTTTCATCAAGACACAACCTTCTTCAACACGTAACAATCCAACAACTCTCATAGACTTCCCCCAAGCCTTACCAACTACGCAATGACACAGGCGTCAAGATGCAAGAAGTTAATAAAATGCTTACTTTATTAATTTTCATCTTTTATTTTGCTTGTTATATGCTCGTCATACACTCTTTTGGTGCACTACTTCACTTGTAATGGGTGGTGCATATAACCATATGGAAATATCTCTCTTTCATTAGTAAGTGTAAGAAATAGCTATTTATCATTACATGCTTGTGATTAAGGATGCAAACAAGTTGAGTCAAGCTCGAGTAAAAGCAAAGCTTGAGCTTAACTCATTACTAAAAAATAGCTCAAACTACAGCTTGAGCTCGAGCCGAGCTCCATGGAACGAACTTGACCTTAGCTTGAGCATTCCTTCTTAGGCTCGAGAGCTCCCGTCGAAAGTCCTAGTTGGAGTTTATCTTAGCCAAAGGAAGTTGTGGCAGGAGTTCTTCTTTGCCAAAAAAAGACACGATGGGAGCAATTGGAGATCGAGGGAGGAGGCAGACTCGTCAACCATCCATCTCAAAACAGAAAATAAAAATTGTACAATGTGCAGCTACATCACTAGTCCTTCAGTCATACTCATCTCTTTTTTTATTTGAAAAGATATATATAAATTTAATAGAAATTTTTAATATTTAATTTATTCATATCAATGAGCCGAGTTCAGTCTAACACGAACTCAAGCTCATTTAGCATTTGAACTCGAATTTGAGCTCAAGCTCATGGATCTATAAGCTTGACTTGAAAGCTCGTTAACGGATCGAGTTCGAACTTTGCTCACGAGCCTGCTCAGCTCATTTATAGCCTTTATTAAAAAAAATAGCAAAAATTATATATTTCATAATAAGAATTTATAAATATAATATCGTCTCCATGGTGCATCATATCCTACTTTTTTACACTTATATCGTGTCTTGTCATGTCTGTGTATGTGCTTCATAGTTATAGAATTATTGTGAGAAAGATATAATTTTCAAAAAATTATTATGGGTAGTATAGACTTCTTTACGTTTTTAAAAATTCACATAGCACATGTCTTATAGCTACCACAATCTAGCATATTTAGTTGTAAAAGTTATTTCACGTCACACAAATTTCTAAAAAAGCATAATAAAAAATTATAGCGAAATAGAACTTTGGAAGCTTTCTGGAAAACAAAGCTATAAAAACTGCCCCAAATGAAGCTTTGGTTTTTATGTGTGATGTAAAGATGTCAAATAGTGATACCAAAGAGGGAGATTGAAAGAAGCCAAATTAGGAGGTATGGTATGAATGAGAAGGATATGCTCAAGCTTGGTTTCAAGAGAAATGAGAGTATGATGAGCAAGGTTATGCAAGATTGAAAGCATGACAGATTACCGAGCGAGAAAGAGGAGATTCATGGGAGTTGTTAAAGAGAGAGAACATTGAGCAAGCAACAAGAGAAAGTGAATGTAACAGTCCAAATCCTTAACTATCGAGATATTGTTAAGTTGATCAAATGGAATCATGATCAAGGTTGTAAAAACCGAACTGGAGATATAACTTGGAAAAGAGAGAGGTTCAAGGTTCAATGGTCCGACTGGAGTCGAACTAGATGACGTAATAAACAATAAAAATATTTAAATAATAAGATAATTTTATAATAATTATGAAATAATATAATTTTGGGATTAAAAATAAATAGTATGTTGCTCATCAGGTCTGCATATTCCTCTTATGCCTATGCTTGTTTTTCATTCTCCATTCAATGTGCTATTTGTTTTTCTACTCGTTGACCAGAAAAAAATAAGACATGATTCTCACATATGCACAACTGGTCGTGAAAGTTGGGAGAGTAATAGTGAGAAAAAAATATGAGGAATACGTGAATAGGCAAATTGCTCAACATAAAAACATAATTTGTGTTTTGATGAGATTGACTTGCCTACATTTTTGGCCTTATAGAAAAAATATTCCGCTCGAGTTGTATTTCTCAAGGATGTAAAAACCAAACCGGAAAAGAGGAAAGTTCAAGGTTCAATATTTAATGGTTCGATCTGAGTCAAACTAGACTCGAAACGGATGATGGAATAAATAATACAAATATTTACATGATATTTAAATTATAATTTTGGGAAAAAAATAAATATAATTCATACATAAATAATATATTCCATAATTTTAAAATTAAATATAAATAATTATTAATTAATTTTATATATGTAAATATAAATAATTACTAATTTTAAATTTAAATGTAAGTTTTTTTAATCTTCGATTTTAATTCATATTTAATATAAATTTTGTTTATCTATAAATATATAATTTTAATATAAATAATTGCTAATTTATGTTATATATTTAGCTATAATTTACACCTATAAATTATATATAATTCACATTATAAAGTTATATTTATAAAGTCATACTACATTATTTATTTTAGATATTTTATTTTTCTTATTATCATTTGATTTCATATTTAGAGAGAAGTTAGGTAAAAAAGGTTTACTAGTGAATTATAATCAAAATTATATTGAAAATATATTTTAAAATCTTTTAAATTTATTTTAAGATAATTATAATACATAAATAATTATAAGTTTAAAACTTTAAAAATTATTATAATCATTTTTATTTGAATATTTTGTACAAAAAAAATTTCAAAAAATTCTCATGAATGCAATCTACCATGCACATATTATAAAAATTTCTACTAGTTGTTTAGTCTCACATCACTTGGAAGGTTTGTATTGTGTTTTTTATATAGCTTCTCTTATACTCATGAGTTAAGAGCCCACATGGGATAATGAAACCATATGGGTATAATTTGCTAGTGCTTAATACATAATAATATAAAAAAATTATATTATTAAATAAAATATGTTATATTAAAATTAATTTAATATTTATTAAAAATATTTATATTAAATCAAACTATTTAAATATATTATGAATTGAACAAGCCGATTTTTTAAATTGGAACTGGTTCAACAGTTGATCGGTTGAACTGGTGGTTCACACCAGTTCTCACCGGTTTGATGCTAACTTGTTTTTCTTATGGACAGAACCAACCATATGATCAATTCACAGTTGAATCGGCCAGCTCTGTTCTATTTTTAAAACAATACTTACGATTTTATCTCATTAGTATAACTTTTATGAGGTCACCCATCCTAAGAGTGCTCCTATACAAGCAAGCTTAATTTTGGATTTTTTAATTAAATTTTAATCGTTATACCAAAATGCACCTCAATGTTTAAGAGTTTAGCTTCACTCTAATTTAGGGGTTTCACAATTTTCTCCACTTAAATAGCTGGGGTCCTTGTCCGTATTTTGAGCCCATAATCATCCACCAAGTAGGCATGATTCTAGAGGATGACACTCCAAGCTCAACAGGTGACTTTTTCTATGTAATATTTTGTCCCATCTAAGGTTCAAGATGTAACTTCAATGTCGTAACATGTTGTCTTATATGGAACATAGTTCCCATCTTATGATCGGAGTGTTACTCTAATACAATTTGTAATAACTCAAACCCTTAACTATCAAGATATTATTCGTTTAGGCCTAATGACCTCACGATTTTGTCATATTCGTGTAACTTCCCAGAAGGTCACCCATCCTAAGAGTGCTACTGTACAAGTCCGCTTAATTTTGGAGTTTCTAATGAGATTTTAACCATTATGACAAAAGGCACCTCAATATTTAAGATTTTAGCTCCACTCTAATTACAGGATTTCAGAGTGAAAGAAACATCAAGCAAGAGAAGGCATGGAGTGGTGCGCCATTAAGCAAAAAGACAGTTCAATAAGTGACCATGCTGAGAGGTTTTGTGTCCAGAAAAAAAAAATGTGAGTAGTAAATGCATATAAGGACACATATCGAGAGCAAGAGGGAGGCTAAAAGGAGTGAAGAAGAGAAAAAGAGATAACGAGGAAAAAAAGAATGAGCAAGGATTCTCAGATAGAATAAAAGTGCTATTATCACATAATACTAGAATGTAGATTTCAAAAGTACCTCTAGTGAATTGCAAATGCAGTAGCCAAACGCAACAGAAAGTTGATGTTTCTTCAAAGTCAACAATTCACCTGCAAAGTACCAAAGAATGAAACAATATTTACTTTTCAAACTAGCTACAAAAACAAGTAAAAAAAGGAAGGCACAAGCATTAAGGTATCAAGATAAAGACAATTGAAAGTATTACAAAATAAGAAAGCTTGCATTACAAAAGCATTCTTGATGCAATCAAAGATTATCATTTTATATTTTGTATTTTATTTTCTTATTTTTTGAAAGTTATTTAATTTTGGATTATGTTTTCTTTCATGTGCCTTGTGATGGAAATCTAGGGGTGTAAATGAGTCGAGTCGAGTTTTGACACTATCGAGCTCGGCTCGTCAGTCAGAAAGCGAGCTCGAACTCAAGCCCGTTCCACCGTTAACGAGTTTGAGCCGGCTCGCGAGCCTCGGCAATCCGGACAACCTTCGAGCGAGTCGTCTTCCTCGTCCGCGTCATCCACGTCAAGCTTACCATTGGAGAAGAAGGTTTAGGCGTTGAGCATTGAAAATAAAATATATTTTTTTTCTTATGGGGATAAGATATGAGCTGAGATCATTAATGAGATTTAAAAAAAAAGCAAAAGGAAGCAGCAGCTTTTCACCTTCCCAAAAAAATAAGAGCAGCTGTCAGGCTTTTTCATTGGTTAGATTAAATAAAATTAACATTATATATATTTTTTTATGTCAAGAAATACCGAAATGGTATTATTTTTTCATTTTTTTTGGAATTTCCGGTTTGATCATTTTAATTTTTGGAAATCCCGCCAACTGGAAATCCCGCCTCCAAGCACGTCACCTTGCTCATTTGGAATTACCGCCTTTGGTCAATCGAGCTTGGCTCCCCCCCCCCCCCCCGCGGGCCCCCTCCCCCGCCGTTTTGGCTCGCGAGCTCTCGAGCTCGTTTAACAAACGAGCTCGAGCTCGCGGCTCGATAAGCTCGGCTCACGAGCTCGTTATCAAGTCGAGTTCGAGCCGGCTCACGAGCCGGCTCGGCTCACTTACACCCCTATGGAAATCAACCTACGATCATGCTTGAGTTTGGTGCCCTTAGCTATTTTCTCTGCTTTGATTTTCCACTCATGTTGATTTTGTTTCCTTGCTCCTTGGTAGCTAAATGGGTATTTAATCTTTGGATTGTTTTTTCTTTATTGGGCTTGGCCCATTCCTTACCGTATTATTTGGTTGTTGGGTGTTCTCTATGTTCCCTCCCCATGCAATATTTGAAATTCCTGTTGTTTTCCATGCAGTTTTAGTTTTCCCTAGGCTATGGTTTTCTGCTATTGATTGTTCCCCTTCCGTCTTTGCTGATTCCTAGTCTAGTGTTTTATCTTCTCAATAAGTGGCTTCTATTGGCTAATTGAGGTGGCACATTTATGTGGACATTTGGACCTTTTTTCTCCTATAACTATGATTGATTTGCTGCCGGAAAAGGATTGTTGGTGGATGAAATCTGATCCAAACCTAAGAGTTTTCTTCCTATCCTGGGAGCTATATTCTTCCTACACCTATCTCTTCTTCCTGATTTTCTATCTATTTCTTCTCTCCATGTATTATCTTCCACTTGTATATTTCTTCTACAAATATTATGAGTGAAAGGTGTTGTTTAGCCTGTTTGTTGGTATTTGTCGGAGGAGAGCCACTTGAGCAGGACCCAAATTTCGGTGGGAAACCACTGGTTTGATTTTTCTTTTGAACATCATTCTCTAATTTTCATATTTGCATGTGAGGTGATCTTTCTAAGTTGTTCTAAGGTAGTTTATTTTATGTTTTAGTTTGTTGCTTGCAAGGTTTCCTAATCATTTTATTATATTTGCTTACTATTAAGTTTCATTTAGTTGTTGTTGGTTTATTTTTTATTGAAAGAAAGTATCATATTGCATTCCTAGTGTTCTACTACTTGGCTATAGAACTTATGTTACATCAATTCTTCCCACTTGGACAACAATGCTAACCGTCAAAGTTTTGATAGGTGTATGTAGAGTAAAGTAAAATCAAAGGCTCTTTTGGATGAGACACTCAATCAAGCACCTGGTGTGTCTATTCCTAAAATGAATTTATTTGCCATATTAAAGTCCCTAACTGATCAAACATAGAAGACATACATTGCGGCTCCAACTTTCTGCACAAGATGGTCCGGCCATCTTGTGGCTCCAGGTTCCCGCACAGAGTGTCATACATTGTTTTGCTTAGAAGTAGAAAGGCATACCTTGAAGCAAAGAAGCATCTCATCCAAGCTGTTGATTCGATCAGGCCAACCCCATCCACCGCTTTGAAGCATATATAGACTAATCAGAAGAATAGTTTGGTGGAGATCGAGAAGCGGAATTCACGGCAGCCATCCCGGAGTGTCGAAGGGCATAGGTGCGGCGAGCGAAGATTCTCCTTATTGTCCGCAATGACAGCCGACTTCATCAATTTAGTCAAACAGGGAACGTCGTCGTCCAAGGGGGCAAAGAAGCACGCAAATGGCATACATTGTGTTACTTTCACAGCGTGCAGGCTCAAAGGGAACATTGTCGAATGAGTGAAGTCCAACATGAAGGGATTGTCATAGAATGGGCGAAGTCTTCGTTGTCAAAGGAGCCAAATTTCTCTCATGAATTCCTTTTGGCTCGAATTTAAGCGATTTTACTTTACCCACAAAATGAACTATAGAGGGAAGTTCATAATACAACGGGATTTTATTTCACTACACTCATTATCAAATCAAACAGCAAAAAAAAATAAAATATAGGTATTTACTTTAATTTACATTTACTTTACTGCCAACCAAACAGCCCCTTAATGATGCACATGCTGAAATGCTAAAACTAAAACAAGCTCAATTTGAAAATTTAAAAAATAACCAAAATAATTATAAAGCCCAACAACATTAAACAAGCTAACCCTAACAATCAAGTGTCAGCGAACAAAAGAAGCCGAAAACTTCAACTCAAAACGCGAAAGCCGGGAACCCCGAACCTCAAGAAGGATTAACCTTCGCGAAAAAAGCAAAAGAATGGGATCTTTACAAGCCATTCTTGCAAACAAACACCAATTCTGCATCTACGTCACCAAATTTTTAACTTATGAAAAAAACAAAATCTAGCAAAACCAGTAACTGAAGCCCTAACCCAATTCCTATCCAAGGCCTACCTTGATTAAATCCAAAACGCGAACGGAGAGCATTCAGCCTATGCGGTACAGTAGCGCTGACAGCTGGAGCTTCAACCAACCATTCGCACTTTCACAAAACCTAACAACTTAGAACTCTGAAAACCCTAGTTGGGAATTCCAGAATCTCCCGCCTCTTGAGTTAAAAGGACTCGATGATTCTATTTTATGTTTTTTGAGTTCCTTATTTGGCAACAAATAGGAATGAATTTTAATGGGATTTAATACATCATTCAAATTTGGATTTAATAAATTCAAAGAGTGGTGTATCATGAAAATTATATGATATGACATATTTTAAATTATTATAAATCTTGAGAAATTATTTGGCAAAGTAATTCAAGATTTAAAATGATTAGTTTATTTAGAAATTAAATTTAATATAGTTTGAATTTAATATATTATAATGATAAACAATATAATTAGAAATTTAACTTAATTATTACTAATTATCAAATTAATTATTTAGGTGTTAATTTTAAATTAATCATTATATTACTAACTATCTAATTATATTTTTAAATCCTAATTAATTAGTGTTGCATCTTAGAAAATTGAGGCGGTAGAGAAATATAAAGTTTAGCCATCCCAATCTTATACGAAGATCTAGCACAAAAACACATAAACAAGTAGGGATGCAGCATTCATAAGAGATTCCAGACTTTTTAAGTCGAAATCCCTTGAAAAGGGGGAAACCATGAGGCCTTCAAAGTTGAAATGAATTCATTAGTGTTTGCAGTTGATAATAAATGAGATCCTTCATTGGGGGGAAGGCATTGGCTTGATGTAGTCACTATATATTATATACAGTGCATTATATGGTGGGAGTTGTAAGAATTAGTGTTGACATGTTTGTTTGGTTATTAGGACCATAGTCAACGAGTATTCAAGATCAGAAAGATTGTAATTGGGTGACAATGGTCGAAAAGATCGTCGTCGAACGATGACAATCTGGGAAACCGTAATATGGAGATGTTGGTTGAAGAGACCATAGTTGACAAGTGACGGAGGTCAGAAAGTAGTTTGGCGATATTGGTTGGAAGGGTCGTAGTTTAGAAATATTGGTTAGAGAGATCATAGTTGGCTAGCAACAAAGATTGAAAAGATCGTAGTTGGAGTAACGGTAATCGAAAGGGTTATAGCAGGCGGTGAAGGAGGTTAGAAAGACCGTAGTCGACGGACAAAAGAGATTGGAAAGGCGTAGTCAGTTGATGGCAGTTGGAAGGACCATAGTCAGGTGACAACGATTGGAAGGATAGTAGTATAGATATGTTGGGTGATAGTGATTGGAATGATCATAGTCGAGCGACGGCAGTCGAGGTGATCGTAGTCTAGATATGTTGGCCAAAGAGATTGTAATCGATGGGCGACAAAGGTTGTAAATATCATAGTCGACATGCGACGGTATTTGGGAGGATATCTGGCATTGATAACATCAAGGAAGAGTTTTGGCGATAGTCGAATAATGAAGGGAAGTTTGACAATTCCTGATTGTCGAGAAGAAGATCTGGCTGTGGCCGATGAAAGTGCGGAAGTCTAGCGACATTTGGTGGTCGAAAAGAGATCCAGCGGTGGCCAACGCATGGGGGGAAGTTCAGTGATAGTCGAGAAGAGATTTATCCTCAGTTGATGATCGGGAAGAAGTCCAACGATGATTGGGAAAAAGTCCAGCAACAGTCAGTGATCGAGAAAAGATCCGCTGGTGGTCGGTGACAAGAGAATTCCACAAGTTCTCTCCTTATCTTCCTCATTTTTTCTCCTGCTCTTTCAAACGAAAAATGGAGGGCTAGTTATAATTTTTTGGGAGTAACATGTCTAGTTAATATGAAAAGTATCAATGACATGTTGGGAGTGCTATATCGGATGACTCATATTAATTCTCTTGATTATGAAGAGTTTATCGAACATTTAAGTGCGTTAATGATGTCAGAATTGAGTGATATTGGGCTCGTTGAATTCGTCTCGTCGAGCCGTTCAATTTGATTATAAGTATGTCATATTTGAATATTTATTTATAGTCCAATTAATGCTCTAAAACTTCTAAATATACTAGACATTTGCTTGGGCTCATTTGGGCTTGAATTGGATCAAATTTGATGTTGTCGTCTCCTTGAGATGTTCAATTTGACTATAAGCTTGCTGAAATTGGAGATTAGATGATATTATTTTAATTTTTGTTGTCTCAACCTCATTTTTGCATTGAGATTCGTGTCTGATCAAAATGAATTTTTTGTGACACATCAATTAGTTTTAATGAATGATTATTTAAAAACAATATATAAATGATTTTACTAATACTTATATGAATGATTTAATGAATTAGTTAAATGTTAAATTAATCTAATGATAAGTATACTACTAATAACTATAATAACTAATCAATTACAAATGTTAATTAATTTAATTTAATGATAATTATAATGCTAATTATTAAATTAAAGTAAATTTGATTACTTCATTATATTACTAATAATACTACTAATTATTTAATTAATCTAATTAATTATTAATATATAAATTATATTACATTGCTAATTTAGTTTAATTTATTATATTATCAGGTAATAATACTTAATAATGTAGGCTGCATAGGATTTGCTTTTCCTATTATCGAGTGCTTCGTTGTTTTCCCTCATCATTGTCGCTATTTCTTCATGGTTGCTTTGGCTTCGCGTGCAATGCGTGCTTTGCACGATGGGAGCTCGCTCGCTGCTTCACCTCCTCCAAAGGAGTTGGATTGCAAGTCACAACGGGAGCTAGCTCACTACGTATGTAACCTTCACCTCCTCCTTCCTTCAGGACTGGTTAGCTATCTCGCAAGCTCGTAAATCCCGTAGTCTGTAAGTTAGTAAATCCTTCGAACCAAGGGATTTACTAAATCTTTGATTTATGTCGTAAATCCGGGATTTACCAAGGACTGGGATTTACGAAGCGGTCGAAAACTGTTTGGCAGGATTTATCGTAAATCTGGAGTAAATCCGTTATCAGACAACCCCTAAATGTTATGGTGATAGCGAGGAAACGAATTCGAGCGATTTTGATTTAATTGGAAATCAAATTTCTCACAACTCGGTTTGCATTTGCATAAGATCATAAATTTAATTAAGTTCACCATAGAGAAAGACATTTGAGTTTATAGGCCTATAATATATTTCCAATATTTTTTTCTTTGAAAAATATACCTAAAAGTTTAATCCAAATCAAAATATTTTTTATTTAAATATTGGATTACTTTTTAAAACAGTTCTGACTAAATTTGATTTTAATAATATTTGAACAATATGAGAACAAAATTTGATCAAAAATTAAATCATATACAATAAAAATTAAATCGATGATCAAACGTTTTTAACCCTAATTGAACATAAGTCATATTTATTTATTTATTTATTTTTCTATCAAGGTTTGAGCATAATTTTAAAAACACTTAAATCAGATATTTAAAAACACTTTAACATATCTATAATATTCAATATAAATAAGAATACTCTATTTTGTATTGATAAAATGTTCTTCAAATTTTTATTTCTTTTAAAATTTACATTTTAACAATTCATTTATTACAAAAGCATCATCTAAATTTTGTACCAATAATTATCGTGCACGAGTATATTACATCTCCGGCTAATACCATAAAGAGATGAACTATTGTATTTGCATGCATATATCTTTTATCTTTATACTTTGTTTACATATTGATTCATTTCATTTTCTTTTACGTATACAAATCAATTTATATAAACATTTTTCATGTTTGTATAATTCATATTGTAACTTTGATTGCGTAGTTTTCTTCAATTTAATTTATATAAGATATTATAAATTTAATAAGTACACATGCAAGATAAAGTATCAAATAATTATATTAAAACAAAATAGAAAAAATATAATTTATATAAAATAAATATAATCACTCACTTCATTATTTTTCATAGTAAAATTATTTAAAAAAATTCAGTTCTTAAGTGGCTTTTTCAATGCAACATCTATGATTATGTACACAATTATGCGATTCGCCATGATTATCTTTTAAATGTACTTTCATTAACTTTAAATTCATATATATATATATATATTCGCGCACCCGCCTGCGAACTCGTGTCCGTGCGCTCACCAGCCCGCTCACTACTCGCTCGCGTCTGGACGGGTTGGGTCTAATCCAAAAGCGGAATCGTGTCGATTCGTGTCAAATATTCATGTATGAATGACCACATATACATTTGGTTGAGTGGCTTTATAATCAAATATTCATGTATGAATGACCACATACAAATTTTTATAGTTCAGGCTTAAAATGAGATGTGATATGATTATATAAATATTTTATTAATTGGCAATATTCTTAGAAAGAAAAATACTAAGTTATTTATTGATTTCATATTCTTCTTCTATACATGAAATATTAACTTGCATATTATATTAAGTCATGAAATATGAAATTACAACAAATATGAGTGCAAAAATTTGAAATCAAATGAATATCATATTAGTTAAGAGCTATCAATAAAATATTATAATACCTATGTAGGTGCAATCAAAAGGGACCTCGATGGAGGAACAATTATTACGTCCTCCGACCGGACGTAGAGAACGTCCGGTCGGAGGCAAAATCGCGCCAAAAAATGAGAAATACCGAGCAATACCAAACACTAATGAGGAATACCATCATGTGAAGACCCAATACCAAGTTATACCGAGCAATACCAAGTTATACAAAAAAAACACCGAGTTTTTCCTAGAAAAAACTCGGTACAACTCGGTATTGCTCGGTATTAGTCTTCACAGAGCGGTATTCCTCATTATTATCAAATAATACATAACAATACCGAATAAATACCGAGTTTTTTGCCAGGATTTTACCTCCAACCGGGCGTTCCTCTACGTACGTTCACCGGACCTAATAATTGTTCTCGATGGAGGCATTAGAACTTAAATGTAGTTCAATGCGATAATGTCATATTTTACATGAGCTCCATTGAACATTATTATAAATCTATAAAAGCCAACTTTACAACCATCTGAAAATAGCCCTAGTGTTTCGTTTGAAAAGGCTTTGTTTACTGCATTGCAAAGTTATTGTCGAAAACATAACTTTTTAAAACTGTTGTAAACAACTTTTTAGTTCAAACTTTTTTTGAAGCAGCAAAAAAATAATGATCAAATAAAAATTATGATTACAATTTGAAAAATAAAACAATAAGAAAACTATTCCAAACAAAACCTAAATTTATTATAAATGATGAATTCAAGTGAACCAACCAATTCAATCAAAATATCACACAATTTAGAATAAACGAAAAGGCATGTTAAAAACCAGGTTATAAGAATCCTAGAGTGCAAACACATACCGTTATACGACATAATTAAAAAGTGATATAGACTCACAAAAGTAAACGGTACTAAACAGTTTCCAGAGCAAACCAACTCGACTACATGACAAAGACAGCCATTAATGCTTGCAACTTCCGCTTGAAATACAACAGCAGACAACCAAAAAAGCTTACCAGATAGTAATCCTACGACTACATAAGAAGCGGATGCTTTGCTTTATCACCAGCGTTGTCAGAATCAACGAGGACTGCTTTGAACAATCAGAAAAATTTTGATTACAATTTATTATTTGAAAAGGGCATTGTCATAATAGAGAGAGAACCAAAATGAAAAATTTACATACATACCACTTTATTTCATGATATTTACGTATCTAATACCCAAAACATTAATATTACATGTCTACCATCAAATATACACTCCTATAATTCATTTCTATCATTCATATCATCCTATAAACTTTAATATTACATTTCATGCACCCAAATTTATTCTATGGGTGGTAGACATGTAATATTAATATTTTATGTGTTAGATATGCAAATAGTATGAAATAAAGTGATATGCATGTAAATTTCCCATACATACTACTTTATTTCATGATATTGACATATCTAATACCCAAAACATTAATATTAAATGCCTACCACCCATATACAACTTTAATATCAAATATAACATTCCTATAATTCATTTCTATCATTCATATCATCCTATAATCATGATCGTTCCACATCATATAAACTTTAATATTATATTTCATGCACCTAAATTTGTTCTATGGGTGATAAGACATGTAATATTAATATTTTAGGTATTAGATATGCAAATAATTTCTTCAAAAAAAAAAAAGATATGCAAATAGTATGAAATAAAGTTGTATGTATGTAAATCCCCCCAAAATGGGAAATTTACATACATACCACTTTATTTCATGATATTTACATATCTAACACCCAAAATATTAATATTACATGCCTACCACCCATATACAACTTTAATATCAAATATAACACACCTATAATTCATTTCTATCATTCATATCATCATATAAACTTTAATATTATATTTCATGCACTCAAATTTGTTATATGAATAGTAGACATGTAATATTAATATTTTAGGGATTAGATATGTAAATAGTATAAAATAAAATAGTATGTATGTAAATCCCCCAAAGAAAATTTAAGCTCACCTGTAGGAGCGGGACCTTGAGTGTGGAGCATTTGCCTCGGGACTCGGTGATCTTTTTGGCGATTTGTAATGATCTTCATCGCCTGGAGGAGTGCGGGATCTTGGCGGAGAGTAGTACTCATCCCGAGTGGACCTATCTCGTCCTCTGCTTTTATATATTATGAAAAGATACAGAGATTCAGTAGTGTAAGAAGAAAGCAGATTCATATGAGAAGCACAAAATTCATATAACAAATAAACAAAAGCAATACACAAAAGAGCCTAAGCAAAACAGAGCAGAACTGTGATAATTCGATGGAAAACAGTGTAATTGAGTAGGATTATAGACCATTATTTGGAGGTTGAAATACTTCACGGTTCTTCGTATTCAGAATCTACATAATGGGAACATTAATGTTACCTGAAAATTTTCCATACTCCATAGAAACTGAACAAATTTATGATAGTTTCTTTGGTCCATACACTTCCGAGCTCTTTGCCACATCTTTCATAGAACCATTCCTTTATTTTGAACAAATGTATGATAGCAATGGAGAACTAACTTCCATGCTCTAGCATAAAAGGCTTTTCACCTCCCAGGCTTTTTGCAGATCACCAGTCCTTTATCTTTTGTAAATATAAGCTTTAATATCTTTGTAACTGGATAGTATACAAAAGCAAGATAAATAAACTTCAATATTAAATGGGAAAAAAATTCTATATTAGGGATTTGTTGATCATCTAGCAAACCATGTGATCAAGGGGAATTATGTCGTTGAAGATTAATCAACGATGACCACTTCAGGGGTAGCTTCAAAAGATGGGAAACTAAGAGAGGCAAAATCTTTGGATCTCTCAATCACTTTAAAGTCTTTACAATCCAATCATTCTTTATCTTTTTTCAATATAATGATCTGCATGAGCAATACCGCCAAGTTAATCGGATCCATTCAAGGGCGACCTTAAAGCAGCAGACAAGCACGTTTATAACAAGCCTTAATAAAAATTTCAGCTTCTTAAGGGCATTTAATTGACGATAGAGACTCCCAATAAAAAAATATTGAAATTAAAAAAAGAAACATGTCATTCAAAGAAACCCTGTAAACTAGGAATGATAACAAGAATTTTTTAGTTCCAACCATATAATATCAAGATAATCAAAAAGAAAAAAAATTTGAAACTTAAACATGTAACAAAACCTAAGAAGTCTACATACTCGCATCAATTTAAATAAAGTCTCGTTTGGGACGGTTTTTTTATGCTTCTTAAAGTATTTTTTAGTACTAAATTTTTAATTTTGATACTAAAAAACTGCTTTAAGAAGCAGGAAGAAAGCCGTCCCAAACGAAGCTTAAAGGTGCTCTTTATAATGAGTTTTCAAATGGCGACAAACTTATAAAAACTTGGATGCCAAAAATAAACATAAAAACATTAAAAAATAACTTCAAACCTTGAATCGTGCCTTGGTGATGAGGACCGTGAATAAGCTGTCAAGGAGGAGAAAAGCAGAAACATTAGCAAGTATGCGAATAATAGGTCCATCATTAACAGCCATAATTATGAGGAAATGCAAAAGACAAACAGATCTTAAATTCAATAGCGTCATCTATTTGAAAACTGACATCTGTACCGACGTCTTGGAGATCTTGGTGGAGAGCGTCCTCTACTGTTACCATTGTATCTTCCGCTCCCGCTGCTGGACAGAAATGGGGGTAAGCTACCATTCATTCGCTAGAAACGAGTACCTTTTAGAGGAAACAAGAGAACCCATACCTTATTCGAGCACTCGTCCTCATATCCTGAGGAGTTTTTCTATTTTCTTCAGCAAACACAATTGAAATTTCACGTCCTCCAATAATTTGATGGTTCATCTGGAGCTTTGCTTCAGCTGCATCTTCAGGATATCGATACTTAACAAACCCGAAACCCCTTGGCTCCCTGAGAAAGCACATCCAAGGTTTACTTGCACCAAAGAGGCAAAAGCTATGAAGCATAAAAAATAATACGATACAAAAATTACCTTAAAACTAAAAATGCATTAACAATCAAAGGATTAGTTCCCAAAAAAGATCAATGTAAACAAAAGTTATTAACATATTAAACAACGATAGTACAGTTTGCTAGTAAATAAAGTCTTTTTGGTTCTCATGTGCATTTACAATTCAAGGCTCTAAAATGTAAATATTTATTCTCATATGTTTCATATTAGTCTAGCTCTGTTTTATCAGTAAATCTTTATTCTCAATCAGGCATACCAAAACTATCAAATCTTTATCTTATCTGTATATTTTTACAATCCATTATAGACACCCAAACTGCCAAATCTTTTGTCCACAACCAAGGCTCAAATAAGTGTTGCGCCAACATGTGTCTAATATAACACCTTTGCACCCTATCTTACCAAGTTTTAATACACATCTTCAATTTCTCCATACTAGCCGCTTGAATTGATATTTCTATCACATTGAAAACTTCCTTGCTGATAGCACGAAGATTAATGAACATAAAATCAAAGTGCTTCAATTCCAAAATTGCTTGTTCAAAATTAGTTTGATTCAACTAGAAATCATATATATATATATATATATATATATATATGCTCAAAGTAACCTGAAAGTAGGGGTGTCAATTTTTGACACGACCCGAAACCTGACCTGGAAAAATCCGGGTTCGGGTTTAACAAATCGACCCGTTTGTGAAACGGGGCCACTGCTTGGCTGCTGCCTAAACCCTAATTTCAAAAAATCCGGGTCAGGTCGGGTCGTGTCAACACGGCAACCCACGCGGGTCAGGTCCGAGTTGAGAAAGCCAACCCGTTTGTAAAAACAGGTTGGGTTTGGGTTGATCCGTTTAGAGCCAGATCAACTCGGGTTCGACCCAAACCCGACCCATCGACCCGAATTGACACCCCTACCTGAAAGTATACTCAATCAATCATTTTTTTTTCTGCAAATTCAAACGTAAATCAAGTTGAAATAAAAAATCCTCAATTTCAAGTTGAGTCTGGCTTGATAGTACGACTAAATAAATCAAACTTTGTTTCCCACATGTAATTACAATTCAAGATTCAAAGAAAACGTAGATATCATGTCTAATAATTTGTTTTCTATGCTTCTCATGTTGAACAAATCTCTTTGCATCAATGGTTATATCTCCAACAACCAATGAGATCCCTAAGCTGCCAAGTTCTATTAACCATAACCAAGCCTCGGCTATTTGCTATAACAACTTTGCATCATAGTTAATCAACTTTCATTGTCCATTCACACTATATGCTAGTGGTTTCTTAGTTGCCAATACTTAATCCATTCATCATAGCCTATTTTATAGCCGCTTTATACATATTAGTTCCCACAATATTCTCAATCAGAAATAAAGTTTAGTATTATTCACAACTTAAGATTTTCCTGCTTGCAGCAGCTTGTAATATTTATCCTATTAGTGAAAAACAAGTCAAACAATTATACAATATAAATGTATCCTTGAAATTCATTCAAAGATAATTAGTAATAAATGTTTAAACATCAGCTGCATGTAAATTTAGCCAAGGCCAAAACGTAAAGAAAAAAAAAATTCAATCAGGTTTCCATGCAATCAAACACGATGATACAAACATCAAAGTTTAGACTGACTAAAACAAACAAATTTAGTTGAGTAATATACCATGAGATGAGACAAGATGCAAACATCAACGTTTATACTTGTTAAATACAAGATGCACTGGGTAGTGCAAATTGATACTCTGAGTTTTATTTTAGTTTAGCAAATGCTACTTTCGTAGCTCTTTGGTCTTCAGGAGTTTCTATTTTAGTTTAAGTAGTTTTATTCATGCCTATATTCAGTAGTGTTCTTTAATGTTCTGAATCCCTTCCATTGGCCCTTGGCCTAGTAAAGTTAAATACATTGGCCGTGATATTGTTTAGATTAATTTTTCAAGATCAAAAGTACATGTGATACAACCATATGATCCCATATGTGATCCTATAATTCACGAATACCTTATATGACTATCTATTCAAATGTAGGCTAATGTAGGGTTATCCATAAATGACCCGACACGATAACTCAAACCAAACTCAATTTGAAAAATCTTGTTTCCAGATCAATGAATAGGTTGAGATCAATTTTAAAATATAAACTCGTTTACTATTCAGGTCGAGCCAGATTGGCCCCAAAAACATAAAATTATCTAGAGTATGCATGTGATTGTCGTAAACATGATGATGTCAGCCCTTCCTCATTTTTAATCTCACGCTTCTCTACTCACAACCACTTCGCACTTTCTCGCAAAACAACAAATCCCAAATCGCCGACTTCACCTCTAGGGAAGTAAATGAACTGATCATTCGACGAGCTGCTCGTGGCTCAGCTCGATAAGAGCTCGTTCATGTTCGTTTGGCAAGGTAAATGAATAAGCTTGAACACTTTTGATAAATACTCAATAGCTAAATAAACGAGCTTGTTGTTTGGTTCGTTTATGTTCAAGAACAGGATTGTTTAAACCTCGTTACAAAGCTTGATTAGAGTTTTGAAAATAAATATAATTAAATTACTTTTACTAATTTAAATATTTATTTTTTCTTTATAAATTCCCTAATCCCGCTCGTTTTCCGCTCATGCGTTCACACTGTCTACTATTTGTTGTCCACTACCGGTTTGTACTCTCGCTCATTCAACAGGAGGAAAAAAAAACTTGTTTGTTTAGTCTTACACCATGCAATACATCTTGCTTTTGCTTTATATAATGAAAGATATTGGGAGCCCATTTGAAATTTGGCGGAGACAGACGAATCGGGTCAATGAAAAAGTTTGGCTGCCAATTCCGCAAGCTAGGTGGGGCGGACAGATCGATTAGACTCTTGTTTGTATTAAAAAAAAATGTTTATTTTGTTAAATGCTCGAGCTCGTTAATAAGCTCGGCTTGTTAAATGAGCCGCTCATTAGTAGGCTCAATAAGCTTAAATGAACTGAGCTCAAATATGAACTCAAGCTGAGCTCGTACAGAGGAATTTTATACGAGCTCGAGCTCGAACAGGTATAAAAAATATCGAATATTATTGAATCGAGCTCAAACAAGTCTTGTTAAATGAGCTTAAGCACGAACATGAAAAAGTTCGGCTCGGTTCATTTGTAGCCCTACTTGCCTCTTTGCGGTTGCAGTTTGGCCACACAATACTTACATGGGATATGACCCCGAGTCACACGACCAAGATGTCATCAAAGTAACTCTCACTTGACTCCTCCCAAACTTTGATTTTACCATATTAATTCCACCCTAAATTCTCACTGTCGTAGAATATCTTGTTGAATCTCTTGATGGACACTTAGGGTTTGAGATTCTTAAGTGCAATTTCATGTCATTATAAAAGATGCATTTAATTTAACATCATATTATCAGAGGCCGGAAGTTTTAATGTGCTATGCATCTACTTTAATGAAGGTTGTAAGGTATAATGAGTAATTGCTGGTCCATTTTAATATGTTAAGCCTTTATTATGTATTGCACTTTGTTGGTCGAAATTAAGGTGTTATGCATTTATTAATATTTTTTTAATAATCTTAAGTCTATTAAGTGCTAATATATTATTTTTTTACATATATTAAGATAAGGAAATTATCATTTTATTGATAGTACCCCTCATGATCTTAATAAGCAAATTGCTAGTGATAATGTTAATGCCAAAGAGAAAGATGAGTTGAATGATTCGGACAATGAAGAGAATGATAAGGAAGAAATGGATTAAGGTGTAAGTGATAGAACAGTTAAAAGGAAGAAAGAGATTGACTCCATCTACATGGGGACATTTTGAAATGATACCTCTTGGAAATAATGAAAAGCAGCGGTGTAAGTGTAAAAAATTTGGCTCAAGTTATCAATGTAATAGTAAGTTTGGCACTTGCAATTTGGGAAACCGTCTACCAAATTATAAGATGTATTGTCTACCAAATTATAAAATGTATTTTCATGATATAGGTTAGCTTATTCTACAAACTGACACCAATATATCAATCCATGTCTGACACAAAGTTTGATCATCATAAGTTTTATTATTTATATTCAGCTTGCATTCTTATGCATGATTTGCCTTTCCAATGAATTGAATGGGTTGGTCTTAGAGCACTCTTGCTTTATTCTCATCATGAATTACAACTTGCATATGGAAATAATGTAAGAAATTACTGCAAGATGTATACTAGGGAGAAGAAGATTTATAGTAGGGAGAAGGGGCAAATTTAAGCTTTATTGAATAAATCAAATTCAAGCTTTGTTAATTAAAACATTTAGTAGAGTTAATTTTATATCTGATTTATGGACTTGTATCAATATTGATGGCTTTATTTGTTTGACTGAATATTGTACTAATAATTCTTGGCTATTACTAAAGAAGATTATGAACTTCAAATTTATGCCACCCCCTCATGATGGCCTTGAATGATTTGAAGTAATACGATAGGAAATACTTGAGTTCGCAAGTAATCCAAGAGGAAATACTTGAGTTCGCAATCAACCCTAGCAAGAATTAGTAAAAACAGTGAGATAATGCAAAAATCTGGATGAAATCAATCAAAAAACGATAAATTGCAATAATGGAATCAAAACAAAACACAAAGAAATATACAATTGATCCTCAATTCGAAAGGAGGATCGTTCTCTCCCGATCTCTAGATTATAGATCTAGAGTCCAAGACGCCAAGGAAAACTCCAAGAGAACAACTCAAAGGATGCATGCCCTAACCCTAGCCTCCCCTCCTCTTTTAATACATATCTTCCTAATAAAAACCAATAAAAGGATTCCTAAAATAAACCAATATTCAAATAGTTTCCCTATGCAAATTCCGCCCCCTTCTTTCTCTCTCTCTCTCTCTCTCTCTCTCTCTCTCTCTCTTTGCCACCCTAGGGGGCCCACAAGCTTGGGTGGCATTCAAAGGAGGCGGCTCTCCTATAGGTCTGAACCGGCCCAGGTTGGGCTGGTTTGGACGGTTCAGGCAAAATCATAACATAGTACAATCTTTTTTAATTGAATGAGGAATTAATAAGGTTATTGTATCATTCTAGATAATGCTTCAACAACTTCCATTGAATAATATTCATCGCCTACAAAGTCTTCAATAAGATCACACTAAAACAAATTTTCCTGAAGAAAAATCAATCGTAGGTATAGAAATCCTAATAAAATGATTGTAATATCCAAACATTTTTATAAAAATCATTACCTCTTTGGAGTAATCTATCTTAATTCATCCCTACTCTCATGCCTAAGACCCTATATTAACAAATAATATTTAACCATAAAACCTATATCTCTAGCATAGTATTCAAAACATCTTGATTACTTCATCTACTATTCTTAAATTGATCATACAATATATACTTAGATTCATTGAATGATACATTGTTTATTAAATTTATGTTCTTTATCAACCAAAATACATTTAACAGCAAAAAATTGTTAAATAATTGAGCAAGCTCCACTAACGTTGATTTAGAAAATTCAACTATAAAGGGGTTAAACAATTGTAGCATTAAAAAAATTCTCCAAATAATCAATCTAACATTGAGAACTCCCTAATAAGGTTATACCACCCATCAAATATATGAATATAAATTTCAATCTCATAAAAGCTTTCTTGTTGTTTAGAACCATAACCAACATGATTTCAATTAAATTGCATCATTCATTATTGTTTTTTAATTAACCCAATAATTTTGCCCTGCTTCTTTTTTATATGATGATGCAACCTTGAGCTTTGATACAAATTTGACATATGTTGACACAAGGCAACCAACTAAACTACCCTAAAAGGCTATATTAATGGAGAAGGCACAACTAAGAATTTATAGCCAGAAGTCTAATTTCCCCAGATCCATGGGTGCATCACAACACTTGTGGCTCAGTCACCCACCGTGGACCTACTGGAGACAATAGTTGTTGCTCTATCACTTTATTAAATTATGAGGCTCTAATCATGGTAAGCAGATCACATCTCAAGTGAAATTAGATCAACATGTGATCTTGAAATGACGTCCAATCTCATATAACTATAAATTTAACATAAAAATGTTAAAAAGACAACAAACCCGGTGTAATAATTCTTTGGAAGATAAACATCTTTCACAGGACCAAACCGTTCAAAAGGGATTCTTAGATCCTCTGGCCTGCAATAAAACAATTACAAAGATGAATCACAAAACATATTACAACATCCATCAAAGCAATACAATAGAAAATAAGTATTAGAAACCTAGTATTACAGTAATGTACTAATTCCGCTTTGAAAACATTATGGTGGAAGTACAAAACCAAATTCCAGAAGTTACTTGGCATATTCATGAGAAGTCGGGTAGTAAAAAACATAAATTAAAAATGATTTATGATCTTAGGAACCCTGCATGTAATAAAATAAAACAAGGCTAACCCAAAAAAAGAAGAAATCCAGAAATATATATCATATAAGATACCAAAAAAAAACATAATGCTTATGAAGCAGAAAAAGAAATATCAGGAGCTTTGTGAACAAAATTTGAGGAAAAAGAGACACATCTAATGCGAGAATATCTTAGGCCATTAAAACTTGATGAGATGTCAACTATAATAATATACCACGAAGCTTTGTCTGCCTATCAATTTGACCGTATTTGCAAAAGAAAGCCAAAACTAGAACTGTCGTATTATATCAAGATGTGCAAGAAATGTTTGCAAACTATATGGTATAACCGCTTCAGTTTTTCTTTTGTCGCGCCTTTTTTTTTCATTGTTATTTTAGCTTCATAATACATTAGTTGAATTCCTGATCATTTTATGTTTGTCAGGATTATTCTAATAAGTTGTTATTAAATTTGTTACCAACGACCTTACTCTATGAATTGATATACTTAGACTGGAACTAGATGTGATGTCATATTGATGATTAACAAAATATTTGTTTCCATACAAGTGAATTCACAATCGATGTCATTGTTCCAAGTAGAGCACTTGAATGTCCAATCGAATCATGCAGCCCTACCAATTTGCTTCTCTGATTTGTCCACAATTCCATTTGTTTCCCTACCATGTAACTTCAATTTGGAAGCAATATTTTTTATCCTACATCTTTTTTTTTACAAAATAAAAAGCTCCTGAATAGTTTTAATTTTTTGTCTACAGTTCAACCTTAGATTTTAGGAATTGTTGACTATGGTTTATGGTGCTGCTCGTAATGTGATAGGATGCTCCCCAGATACAAGGCATCACGACCTAACATAATTATGGTGAGAAGCAGAAAATGGTAGACTAGGATATCATCTTTAGTAATTTGCACATGAAATATGTGAATTTTGAATGAGAATATAATAGCATTGATTTTTGTAACAATAAACTACATGAAAAAAAAAAATTCCAAGCATATTGGAGAAGGACATAAGTTATTGTATGTTGAAATGATTAACAATAAGAATGGGATTGGGCTAGTAGTATAGAAAGAGTTGAAAGATGGATTTGTTTAGATTAGCACAATGAGTGATAAGGTGATTGCTATTAAGATAATTATCCATAATATTTATATTTTAAAAATTAAATATTTGAAAATGGATGAACTACTAAACACATACCTGCTTTTAAAAAAATAGTTTTTGGGGTGATTTGAATAGCATATTGGCTCAAGTAGGATTGGTCACGAGATGATATTTATGGAACAAAAAATGGAAATGAGATGGCATAAGTAATATTTGATAACCTATTAGCCTATGATATTCCAATATCGAACACAATTAAAAAAATGAGAAAAATATTTGATCGCCTACAAAAGGGAAGTCACCAAATCACAAATAGATTTCTTCTTACTTAGAAGGAAAGAAAAATTTTCTTTAAATGATCTAAGGAAGCAGGAGAAAGCTTGACCATACATCATAAAACAATAGTTATAGGTGTATATCTTAAAACTGTAGAGAATTATGGTCCTAAGATAAGGTAGTGCAAATTAAAAAGTATGAAATTGCTAATCCTTAAAGATGGTTTGTTAATAAACACAAATTAAAATTATTTAGCTAAGCCAAACATAGAGTAGGATAAATGGCAATTTTCATTAAAAAATTATTGTAGAAGTTTTAGCAAAGTAAAAATAAATTGAACATTAATAAAAAGACTTGGTGGTGAGTGAGGAGGTACAAAGGTTATTCAAGAAAAAAAATGAACTTTTTAAACATGGCAAGATTTTAACTAAAAAGGCTTATAATGATTATAAAAAACTGCAAGTCCTACAAAAAGAGTACACAATAAAGAAAAATCTACATTTTAGATGGTTTATATAATAGGTTTGGTACAAAGCAAAATGTGTGCCACAAATAGGGGCTAAATCTAATGATAATAATGATGTTAGAGTTCCTAAGATGCATTTTTAAATCTTATTTTCTCTCCCCTCCATGACAATCTTTTTTTCTAATTTATGAATAACAAATTTTCCTCCTACCATACATAAGCTCCATCCTCTCCAATAAATTTCCAACATACCTTAAGCCAAATCACATCAACTTTTTCAAGGTTCTCTCAGTGACCCATTTCAACTTTAAACATTCAAGCAATTTAAAATAAAAACTTTTCCTTTTTTAAAAAAAGCCTGTCATCCCCTAAAATTCCTTAACAATCTTTTTAAACTCCAAATACATGTAGCCCCACTACAAAATCTGAATTCAAAATTTTTAATACATAACAACCCAAAGAAACTTTAGGCAACAAAATTCATTTCATCCAAGTCAACTCACAGCAAATCAATCATATTATCATGAATAGGATATGCATAGAATGAGATAGGTGATGCAATTGCCAAATTATATATATATATATATATATATATATATATATATATACACACACAAACATAAAAACATCCATAAAATTGTAAGTACAGGCATCATTTTATGCTTATGGACACAAAAGAAAGAATCTAATCAGCATCGGAAACAAATACATTGGTAAATAATACATATATGCATCCAAATTTGGTAATAACACTCATTAAATTTCAATGAAATCCTCATTAAACCTCACTAGAGTTTTCCACACTCTCCTATAAAAGAAACTCTTTATATCCCAAACCTTACTACTCTGACAATCTCAACTGGTTACCAAATCAAATGTTGAAAAGTGAAACAAAAAATGAAAACCAATGGCGCATCAACCAGTCAGACCTTATTCACCATCTAAGTTATTTCCATTAGTTCCACTAGTGATGACCATGCTTTGTCTTTAATTATCGTCTTAGGATAGATTTTTCATTTATCATCTATCATATGATTGTTCGTATTGTACAGATAAAACTATAAAGACCATCCTTTAAGAGACTCGTTAAGACATAGGTTTAATACAAATATTTGGATGAAATAACTTGCTCGATAAGTTTTACACCAATCTTGATCTCTCTCAATATCCTCTCTTATTGTGGGTTTTTCTCATTGAATGGCATCAGTTCCAAATTAAAAACAAAAATACCTCAAAGGCACACAAACTCCAACATAGAACCACAACTTATCCTCATCCTTAAACCTTATTAAAACACAACCTAAGCCTTCATCTAAACCCTTCCATGAAAACCAATGCAATCCATATTCCTAGGCTTTCGCATCCGCTCTAGCTTTTCTAACAGCTAAAATCAACATAAAAAACCAAAGAAATCACTACTTCCATTTTCAAACCGCTTACACCCATACAGCATCAACCACATTACCTCTACAACACTTCTTTACGCAACAGTCAAAACCTTCATGCTATAAATCAAAAAACAACATTCAATCAACCCCATAATGTACAATACAATAAAAAAACGGTCCAAGAAAAAGAAACTGTACAATGAATGGAACTATCACATTCTTTCTAGTTTCATTAGCTACAAGAAAATAAAATGGCTTCCCTTTAAAGTCACTATTTCCCTATTTTACTCAGAAAAAAGATAAAAATATAACAATCCAACTTTCAAAGAAGTTTTAGTTATACCATATGAAAAACACAACTCAAATTCACGAATATCAAGGGAACTACATGGCACTTCCAACTGCAATAACACCTAAAGTTATTGAGAATACACATAATTTTGACAATAACAAACTCTTGGGGATTCCCATCATCACATGAGTCACATGACCAATTTTTTCAATGGCCCGTCTCACCATAGGGCTTTAAAGCTAAGAAAAATGAGCTCAAATTATTATTTTTTTCATTTCTATTCTTGCTTGAGGAACACTTTAATCTGCTAGCATATTTCAGCATAGGACTTATTTGTGAAAAAAAATTTAAACAAATTACCTTTCAACACGTGAAGCTTATATCTTCTATAACTGTCCAAACTGTGTTGTGCCAATATTTTCAAATGAAACTGTATCATGCATGTAGAATTTGAACACCAAAATGTCTATTGTACCCATGAACACTTTTCATGATTTTGACATTGGTAATGGAGAAGGTAATCCACCGAGACAGGATTATCAATTTCCCCTAAATATCCGTCCAATATGTTGATAACTAATCCATATAGCAGGGAATAATCATTCATAACCACATTTGATGGATACATGTGAACAATAAACACATCTACCACACCATCAGCTTCCAACCCTAGCAGTACCAAGGTATATTTCAAGACCTAAAATTTTCAAAAAGCAAAGGTAGTAAATTTTATTTAAAAAGGGCAAACACCAAAAGAGAAAGCTAGTTTCTCATAACAGACTCAAGTAAGTTTGACTTCAGCAATTTTCCATTCAATATAATAACTGTCAAGACAAGGCAGGAAGAAAAAGGATAAAACCCTAAAACACGGACATAAGAAGGAGCCCAAATAAGAAAAGATAAATATGAACAAATAAGATAAACCAAACAAAATAATAAAACAGAGATTAAAAGAATAGAATGGGGAAGAAGGAAACCTAGCATCTAAAGAGATATTGCGGATGAGGAGGCCCGAGGGCGGGCCACGCCGGTCCCGGAAGCTGCGACTTGGCCCACCACGGTAGCGATCGCGTGGGTCGTCGTATCGCTTCCGGCGAGGGGGGCTGCGGCTATTGCGGCGGGGGCTGTAGCTCCGACTCCGACTACGGTTCCTTCCCATTTGAAGCGAGCTTGAGAAAAAACAGAGGCAGAGGAAAGTTAGGGTATATTTATGCAAGAAAGTAATAGAATAAAAATATTAAAATTTTAAGGAATAAATAAATTTGATTTTATATGTATATAATGTCAAATATTATAAAAACATATTTATTATTTTATTTCATAAAAAAATTAAAATGCTCTTCTTTAATTAAAATATTTTGTTTTGGATATTTTTTAAAGTTCATCCTGAAACAAATTTATTATAATATTCTAATAAGATTCAAAAAATATTCTATTTAATATTAAAATGTTATAATTTTGACCCATATTCAAATTTTATTTAACTTTTATTCAAACATGTGGTCTAATTCAAAAATAGGCTTGTCAAATATTTGTATGATTTTTTATCTGTGATTCGATCATATTAGACACATCATAATATAATTCAATAGTTATATCACTCTCGATGAGAAATAGAACATATATACATAACATCTATAAAATCTCAATGGTTATAACATAATAGACAAAATTTTTGATACAGCTGAATACAATCATAATATCTACAATATGACTCGGTTTATTATAAAAACAAACAAAAGTAATTTATAAGAACATAGTGCGCTTTAAAAAATTGATAGCATGTACAACATCATTTAGAAATGTTAGAAATAAAAAAAATAAAGTATTCATTATACTACATGGGTAATAATTGCTTAAATTACTTAAATTTTACTTAAACTTTCAAATGAATTGCCTTATTGTAATCTATAGAACCTAATTTGTGATGACCATTTTCCACATCCAAGGAGATTTTTGGGGAAAAAATAATTTTCCTTCATCAAATAGCTCTAATTATTGAACCACCATGGGAAGCACTTGTATAATGAATTGGGTGAAGGTGATGAAGCTTGTGCATAACAAAATTTTTGGAGCTGTGAAGATTCAAATTATTTTCTCGGCGGATGACTATTGTTTGCATTTCATGTTATTTTCTTTGTTTAGCAATCTTGTCTTTTATAGATTTTGTTTTAGCATATGTTGGTATTTGAAAATAGGATCTAGACTAGTGGAAACTAAGTATCTCTCTACCTTTTATTTTTTACTTAATAAAAAATTATGGGATACTAATCAAAATTTTGGTTGTTTAATCTTTAGTATCCCCTCCGCGAATTATTACGTCCGGTCACCAGACGTCCGGACATCCAATCCATATGCGCCACATCACCCAAATACATTGGGACCCGGTGTATTTTGATGATGTGGCGCATCTGGATTGATGTCCGGACGAATCCGGACACCGGAAGTAATAATTTGCCATCCCCTCCACCCCAATTTGTTTAAAATGATAAGTAGATGATCTTATTTTCTTTATGACATTTCCGATTTTTTGAATATCTTCAATATGCTTAAATTGCTTTCCAATAAAGGCTTCCTTTTACTATTTTTAAAGGACGGCCTAGATTTTCTTTGCTAGTTTGTAATGCTTTCATTTTTTTTATTTAATTCTATATATATATAATCCAATGGATTTTGTTCCAGATTATTGAAAAATATTAGTTATGCGTTAACCCATAACTTGAGGAATTTGGACCACTAGAATGACTTCTTTCTCATATACTTCAAAAAGTTGTAGACTACTACACCTTATTGATCAAATAATTTGTCTAAGATTATTACATTAGCACCATGGGTCTTAGGTATCGTCAAATTTGCTCCCTTATTAAATAACATAAAAATCAATAAGCACTTCCGCTTGGCCACAAACTATTGTCATATTTATGCCCAGCCACCAACCATCACCGGATTTTTTCCCAACTTCAAATTATTTTGAACATACACCCAACCACCGACTGACGTCAGACTTCGACCCTATCACTGATTGGTGTCGAACTTCTACCTGGCCACCAACTGACACCAGACTTCTAACGACCGTCGAGTGTCACCGGACTTACTCCCGGCCACTAATTATCCTCAGACTTCCCTCCAACTATTGTCGCCTGTCAACTACAATCCTTCCAACCTTCGTTGCTAGATAACGATCTTTATAACCACTGTCGCCAGCTGCCTACGATCATTTCGACCTACATCATGAGAGTGCGATATTTTTTACCACTATCCTCCATCGCCAAACTACGATCTTTCGAACCTCCGTCGCCCGCCAACTATGATCCTTCAGACCTCTATCACATAACAATGGTCTTTCTGACCTCCGTTGCTCGCCGACTATGATCCTTCCGACCATCGTCACCCAAATATGGTCTTTCCAACCCTCGTCGTTTGTCGACTATAGTGCTTTCAACAACTCGAATACAGTCTTTATGGCCATCGTCTCCAGCTGACTATGGTTCTACCGACTAAACAAACATGTCAATATTGATTTTTTCCCATGTAATATACTTTATTTGATGTATATTTGCTGCATCAAGCTACAACTTTCCCCCTAAGAAGGGCCTCATTTGTAATCAACATCAAATAATAGTGGATTCATTCAAACTAGGTCAAGCCTGATGGTTTTACCCTTCTTCAAGGGTTTTCGCGTAAAAACATTGGTGTTTCATATGAATGATACATCATCTCTTTTATCTAATTGTGCGCTAGGTCTTTGTACAAAACTAAGACTTTAAACTTCATATTTCTCTATCACCGTGAATATTCCAGAACACAATAAAATTAAAGTTAATTGAATGCTTATTCAAATGATTGATTTATACTTTTAATGAATTAAAAGAGTTCATCATACTATATAACCATGTAATAGGAGTCTTGAACTATTAGAACCATGTTGCACTTTCACTAACCACTCTTATGTACTTTTATTATGAGTTGTTAACTAGTCCTAACATATATGACTTGAAGAAGGACAACAATTCCTCATCAATTAAATGGAATGGACTAATGATGCATAGTTTCATGAGCTTGTGTCTTTTCTCTGATAAATTTATGAAATTCTCAGGAAAGTACTTCTTACTCTTTTGTGACTTTCTTATCTCTAATGAACTTGACATATTCTTATCTATATATTATATAATAATAAGAGTAGTAATCCCTCACTCTCCCCACACCTTACTTGCACATATAATAAAAAGGAGTTGGTCTCTAAACTCCTCTTTCTCCAATTCCCACTCCATATCATTTTCATGGTGCACCTCATTCACGACCTCAACAAAGTTAAATATTTGATTAGCAACATGCACCTTCTCACTTTCTTTAACCTACCTTATATATGCTCATCATGCATGAAGTGAGGGGTGTGATTTTATCCCTACCTCTAATTAGATATATGATAGCAAAAGCAAGTAATTAATTTTAAAGGGAATAACTTAGTCATCATGGCATCCAATGGAGTGTACTAGGGTTGAAAATACTCTTGATGATGAAATGTATGCACAACTATAAATAATAATAAATAATATGTAGTGTGAGTAACCATCATTCAAAAATAAAGATTGGTTAGGGTTGAGGACAAATTATCTAATAAGATATATAGTCAATTGAACATATGGATTGAAGAGCTTGCACTGACCTTTTGTGTGCTAGATCAATCACTCCTCAAGTAAAATCAACTTAAAGAGCTCGCAAAAGATGTTCAAAATGGTTTGAGTGTCAAAGAAAGCTTTTGTTGCTCCAAAGATGGTTAAGGGGTATATGGAAAGCTCTAATAAATTTAAAAGGCTTTGGGTGTCCTCACCTATGGATTTTCACATCTCACTTAAAGGGGGAACTGAAAAAGGTATGAATCATGAGTAAGTTGGACCTAAATAAATTAAATTTGTGAATGTTTGCCACTCGATTTGATTTCATAATTTTTTTAGAAAAATATGCATAATTAGTGTTAATAATTTAATAATTCTGAAGAATAAACTTACACTCATATTGTCAATTTAAGGAAAGAAATGAATTATTTTCATATTCCAACTTGGCGTAGGGGAGCGTAATAGTTATTCCGAAGGATAAAAGTTATACTCACCTATCATTTTAAATACGAAATTGACTTAGGATAAGCTTGATCGACATTCAGAGATTCTTCCCCCCCCCCCCCCCTTCTTAATGAACTAAGAGAGGTTTATTTTATACTGGAATCTTATGTTCCTATAGAGGTAAGCCTCTACAGTTAATTACATCTCTAAAGAAAAAAACTTTTGATTAAATTAGATATTAGACCTAAACTTATAATATAATTACATATAAGCAAGTTGCCTTAGATGTTTAAAATGCAAACCATCTCTTCCAAAATATTGTTAAATCTTATAGAAAATGCATTCATATTTAACATACATATATATTTATTATTTATTAGGAAAGGAAGTCTCCATATATAATTGAGCTTATGCCTACTTGGAATTAGTAACCAGCTAACAACTTATTTCACAAGCAATCATCCTCGATGATGTAAAACCCAAAAATGCCGTTTTAGACCTCGCACGTTTTTCAAAGTGTCGTGACGAGATTTAAGTGAAATTTTTAATGTCAAAAGAATTTTTTTTAGAAAATTCCTTGTAAAATTATGATCGTTTTGATATATAACACATATACCTAATTTTGTCTAAATATGGAATTAAAAATGTTTGAAGTTTCAAAATGCTCATTTTATCCTTACGTATCCCTTAAGCCAAATTCACTTAAGTGAGGGCATATTGGTCTTTAGGCATAAACCCATCTCCCTTTTATGAATAAACCGAAACCCTCCTCCCCTCTCATTCTTTTGCATAACACCAGAAAGGGGCAGACGGGCGGAAGGCAAGGGCGTTCCGGCGACAATCTTCCGGCAAGAAAATTAGTCCAAATCGAAGAGGATGACGAGAGGAACATTCAAGTATGATTATTTTAAAATGAATCTCTCTAGATCTCAAGTATTTTGGAAAACTCCTTTTTCTTCCAAATCTCTTTTAGGATTGAATAGGGAAGGATTAGAAGAACTTTTTAACGATGAAAATGAAATTTTTGGATATTTAAAAATTAGGGTTTTTCTCTTTAGTTGAAATTTTTGAAAGTATCTTTGCAAATGTTGTTCCTAAGGATCCTACGAGGGTTTTTAAAGAAAGAAATTGAGTTTTTTCTTACAAAATGTATTTTCCTATTTTTTAATTATTTTAAATTCAAAAATTTATTTTCCAAAAATATTAATTTGATGAATATGAAGTTTTAGCATGCAAAATTAAGCATTTTAATGAAAATATGTTTTCCAAATTTAGGGTTTTAAGATAATTCCGAAAATAGAAGTTATTTTAAATAAATTTAGGTTATGGAAAAAGGGTTATTTTAGATGAAATAAGTAATTATACAAAAATATTGAATTTTTAGAATATATATGTGCTTTAAGTTTTATTTGAGAGAGAAAGAGAGTGAGGGAAAGAGAGAGAACCTAGAATAGTTTAGAAAAAAAAGATTTTATTTTAAATTATTTTGTAGATTTTAAGAATGAGAAATTGATACTTATAGGTGATTTAATCGTGATGACATCGAAGGAAGAAGGCCTAGCAAGGGAATCAAATTCCAAACTTCTGTAAGTATGCATGATTCTTTAATTGCAGTAATGTCTTTTGTTTCTTTCAAGTTATATGGTTTGATAGCCCACTTATGATTCTTATCGAAGGAATGATCATGCAAATTACATGTATATTTTATGACCTTACATGATAAAGTTTATGTTATATGAAATGAATTGATATGAATGTTATATTGAATGCTTGTATGTATATGCTGAAAGGATGGAGCTCACCCCCTTATGATACTAGCATGGGATGCTGTACTCGTGCACATTAAAATGGTAAAGTATATGAAAAAATAAAAATGGTAAAGGAGTACCTTTATGGTACTATACGTGTCTCCTGTGACGGTTGTAAAATATATGAAACGAGAAAGCTAAGTATAATGATATGAACATGAAAAGAAAAATGAAAATATGGTTTATGATATGATATGTTTAATGTTATGTTAATATGAAATCATTTTTATGTTATGTTCATATAAAATTGACATCTAGCATATTATACAATTTTTCTTGATTACTGTAGTTTAGAATTGTGTTTTACTTACTGAGCTTTGGCTTAATGTTAGTTGTTAATATTTTTCAGATAAATTTAATAAAATAAAAAATGAATAGAAGGGGTGGCAATGTATATCGTAGAAGAGGAACGCTTGAGCAAAGGTAATTTTATGGTTATGTCTGATTTTATATTTAAGTGTTTTCAATTTGATGTTTTAGAGACTCTTTCAATTATTATGGAGATAGATTTAGTGATTAGATAATTTAGCCTACCGTCCGACCTATGTTCCCGCCTCGCCCATGCGAACCGGGCCGGGTCGTGACAAATGAAACGTTGGATAAAGGTAGCTCTATCCTAAGAGTTCAATGGAATAAATCAGACTCCAAATTAGTCACTCAAGATTAATCTTCACTTTAAGTTCAAGTGACACAATCAAGAATACTCATTAAGAACTCAACATTTTATCTTATTTAATTAACTCGACTAAATTTTTTAACCACCAAAATTAATTTCATAGAAATTTTAACAGCATAACGACCCTATACCAACAAGAATAACGCAGCATTCTCCGGGAGCAAGAGGACCCCACTACCTTGTCGTAGGTTTGTATGTTGGGCTAGTGTATGCTGTAGAAAATAAAATGCATGTATATATGCATGTCAAGGTAAATGTTTTGCATATATAATACCCAATACTGTATTATCTTATAACTAACATATATGTTCCTACAAAGTCTGGAACACATACACTGAGGAAAAGCTAAGAAAATTCTACCCACAAATTTAATCTATAACCCATAAGATGCAATTAGTGTATGCAATATAAATAAAAAAGAGTGTTGAACATAAATACAAATGAATTTTATTACCTTATTGATTTGAATATTTATAACATGTTGTGACTCTATATAAAAGAAAGGTAGTTAGGCTCCACCACAACAAATTTGGATTCTAAGCCTACCATATATACATATAAAATCATATATATATATATATATATATATATATATATATATGATTGTTGTCTTTAAGCTCTAGGTCTTATGTGGAATTCTAAAAGAGATTATCCCCCAAAAGCTTCATTTAAAAATATATTCATATTGATTAATGTTATTATTTTACATAGACAATTGCTTTTTATTATAAATGTGTTTGTTCATAGATATGTTCATGAACATGTTTGTTTGATAGTTTTAAAGAATCAAGTGTAAAGCATGAAAGCCTAATATTTAATTTAGATTAATTATAAATTTTATTTGATAAAAATAAAATTTAATCAAATAAATTATCAAATTAAATTATTATTTTTTAATATTTTGGTTGAATTTTCTGATTTTTATTGAATTATTTGGAATTTCTAAATAAATTTTGATTAATTATTAATGAATTATAATTAAAACTCATTTTTAAAAAAATTTGAATTATTAATCTATGAATTTTATTTAATTTTTATGTATTTTTATTATATTTATTATATGTAATTAATTAAATTGAGAAATCAAATATTAATTGAAAATTTTATTTATATTAAAGTTAAAATTCTCTGATTTTATTTTTTTATTTGACTTATTTTATATTTTGAAAAATTTTAATGAATTTATTTAATTAATATTTAAATAAAGGTAATTAAAATATTAATTAAAATTTAATAAATTTGAGTTTGAATTTTAATTTTTAATGATTATACATTTGATTTGAAGTTGACTGAAGGTATTTTATTTTTGTAAATTTTAATTGGTTTATTATTAATTATTGAAGTTTTCAACCATAAGGGAAGGGTTAATTATGATTATCATTGCTATCAATTAATGACAAATCATTGTATGTTTAACTCCTATGATGTATAATGACTCAATGTTGGCTAAGTTTAAAGTTGCACTCCTATGGAGCATGTATGTGGATATTATAAATTGCCAAAGTTTATTAGACACACCTAATTGTTGTTCTTATGTTACACTAATGTTGAATATATTTAACAATCAAGGTATCTTCTAACTCTTAGGATTTGCCTCGTTGAGCCGCTCGATTTGATTATAAGCATGTCACGTTTGGAAACCGTTTGATCATCCAATTTATAGTTTGAACCTGCCAAATGCAATCTAGGTCTTCCATTTCTATCCATTTGTGCTTGAGTTGAGTTGAATTTGGCGTCGTTGGGTTCGTCATTCTGAGAAGTTCAGTTTCACAATAAGTTTGCTAAAATCGGAGTTCAAATGACCTTAGATTTAATTTTGGAAGTTTTTATCATGATTTTCCCTTGAGATTCATGCTCGATCATGATTGATTTTTGCGGATATATCAAGTGTATTCAAGTTCATTTTTGAGGTAAATTGTTTTCGCCTAATTTTGAATGAGAACCACTTACAAAGCTCTAAAGATTGATTGAGCACTACCGACGACCATCGTCTTCACCGCCACCCCTCTGCCGTCCGCCATCGGTCATTGTCCATTACCGACCACCACTATCTACCATCATCGACCATAGCCATCTGCCACTGGCTGTCGTTGCTCATCACATGTTTCCACCGCCACTGCTGCTACCAACCATCGTCGACACCGTCAGGCACCCCATCATAGTTGTTGCTGCCCATCGCCGATGACTGCCAGTCGCCGCCGTCGCCACCGCCATCCATCGTCGCCTTCGATCGCCGCCACCATCACGGTTGTTCGCCGCCATCATCACCGCCACCCTCCAATGCTCACCGTCGGCTATACGCCTCCACTTACCATCTCAAACACAAATTTTTTATACTTAATATTATATTTATTTTACTTCAAATTAAATTAAAAAAAAGTACATTCCTTTTATGACCATCTAAATAAATTTAAAATATATTTTTTAAACCCCACGACTTTTATATTGCATTCCTTTTGACCAAATTTTACCCGAATGAAGCTCCAACGGAACTCGCACCAAATCCGCGGGCATTTCAGACGTCCTATACATTTCTTAGCCTGAACGCGTGTCTTGTCGGTTCGGAAATTTCAAGTACGCGTGTCGCTGGCGAAGGGTGATCTTCAACGACAGGTGTGCGGCGAGCGCCGTTCTGTTCTTCTCCACCCTGCCTGGCTCCTTGCCCAACCTCTTCCCTCTGGTCGCATATCAGCAGACGGAGAAAGAAGCTCGGTGGAACCCTAATTCTAATTCGTATATGCGGTAAGGCTTCGACATGTCTTTCAATCGACTATTTATAATCGGCTTTTTCTTATTGGAATCCTGTTATTTGATTAACCTTTCAACGATAACTCCACCGAAAAAGTTTGCACTGTTCTTGATATATCATCAAAAAAGTATCGTGATCGGCCACGAATCACGGAAACTTCAAAAATTAAATCCCGGATCACCTGAACTTTGATTTCAGCAAACTTACAATCAAACTGAGCGTCTCAGAAATAAGAACCCAACGACACCAAATTCAACTCAATCCGAGCCCAAATGAGTCCAAATCAAGGACCCGAAGCGCTATTAAAAAGTTCTAACCACAATTTGAGTTACAAAATGGTTTCCAAATATGACGTGCTAATAGTCGAATCGAGCGGCTCGATGAGACAAATCCAATGAGCCCAAGATCTCCGAATTCCAACATCATTAAGACCTTCAAATGTCTGACAAACGGTACACGATCAAGGGATTCAATATCGGCCGTCCATCCAACCACTCCCCATTTACTCTTGATTTCTTACCTATTTACGGGCCATGCCACTCCAGAAATCTATAAATATATCCCACATTTTTCTTGAGAGGGGACCCAAGCAAGAAGAAGAAGAAGAAAAAGAGAAGGATATGAGGGAAGAAACTTCTCGACCACCGCCGCTGGAATTCTGCCCGACTTCCACGCGACGGCGGAATTCTGCCCGACTTCCAAATGCTGCCGGAATTCCGCCCGACTTTCCAAGTGACGTTGGAATTCGGCCCGAACTCCAAGTGACACCGAAATTCCTCCCGACCTCCAAGTGACTCCAGAATTTCGCCCGACCTCCAAGTGACGACGGGGTTTCACCCGAACTCCAAGTGACGTTGGAGTTTTGCCCGAATACCATCTAATGCTAGAGTTCTCCCTGGCTGGCGACTGACGTCGGACTTCTACCCGACGTCGGACCTTCGCTCATCGCCAAATTTCTACTCAACGCCGGACTTCTATCCGTCGTCAGATTTTCGCCGGACATCTATCCGATGTTGGATTTTTGTCCATTGCTAGACTTCTACCTGACACAGTCATTCCAACCTCCGTCGCCCGCCAACTACAGTCCTTCCGACTTACGTCGCCCACTGACTACAGTCCTTTTGACCTCCGTCGCCCGCCGACTACGGTCTTTCTGACTTACGTCGTACACCGACTATAGTCCTTCCGACCTGCATCGCCCGCCGACTAAGGTCCTTCTGACTTATGTCGCCCACCGACTACAGTCCTTCTGACCTCCGTCGCCCGCAGTCTACGGTCCTTCCGACTTACGTTGCCCACCAATTACAATTCTTTAGACCAAACAAACACATCAACAATGATTCTTTGTATTCTCATCATATAATGTACTCTATAATATGTACATCAAGTTAAGGTCTTCCCTTAAGGAAGGGCCTCATTTGTAATCAACTGCAATACTGGTGGATTCATTCAAACTGGGCTAGGCCCCGTGGGTTTCCCCTTTTTCAGGGGTTTTTCACATAAAAATATTAGTGGCTCTAGTGAACGATGCACCCTCTTTTTATCTGTGTGTGCTGGATCTTCGTACAATGCTAAGACATTAAACTTTATATTTCTCTACCACCGCGAATACTCTAGGACGCAACAGTTCTGAAATCCATTGGATCATTCAGGTTGGAAATCCAATCCCTGTTCTTACCATATTATTACAAAGGGCATTGTTTATACTTTGAATTGGAACTACAGCCAAATATGTTATTACCAACAAAATTGTTGGACATTTTGCGTTCAGTTCATTCTAAAATAACCAAGTATACTTGATTGTGAATGCATTTCTGCGTCTGGACTGAAACAACGTATATGTAGTTAGTATGGATTGGGGCATATGAAGTGGCTTGCTTATTATTTGTTAAATGTTAAACTTACGATGACGAGCAATGAAGCATAGCCGTAGAAGTAGAAGATGATAAACACTACATGGTAAATGGTACATGACTATGCTTAAAAGTTACTGCATATTGTGACCGTGTTAGTGCGATGTTGTACATATGTGGCATATAATTTATGTTTGAGCTCAAGATAGACAAAATAAAGTGGGATAATGAAGAATCATCCTCGGTTAAAATTTGTTGATAATTTTGAGATGTTACTTTGTAAGTCTCCCTTTATGCTAGTGACAGGGGGATGACAACAATGACACTATTAAGTGTAGGGGGATGACAACAATGACACTATTAAGTGTAAGGATCTTGATTGGGGTCATTGTCTATAATACTTTTAATGTTTCTACTAGGTTAATAACTCTAGTTCATGGCTCATTCAATATTGTTAGTGAGAGTCCTGGAACAAATGAATTGATTTTAATGGATCCTCCTTAACAGATGAAGGAGGTTATACCCTGATCCTCTCTGATGGCCTATAGACATACAAAATATCAAAAGTAGGATTATACTTTTCAGAGGAAAGTGATTAAGAACCTCAAATGATGTTAACAATGAGGCATTCAGATTATAAAGTGACACTGAGATCTTTAGTCAATCTCTTAATGTCGTCGTAGAAACTTATTCCAAAGGTTGTCAAAGAAATAGAAATCAAAGAAGGCGACTTAGGTTTAATTTACGAGCAATAAAGGACTACCACCTTGCAAAAGAAAGGACCACCAACCGCGAACAAACTAAGTAATCAAACAATTTACTCATGGCTCGATTCGATTATAGCTCATTCATGATTGTTTGATTAAGTAATCAAGCAAGCTTGAATATTTTTTTTAATATTCGATGGTTAAGTAAATAAGCTTGAATAACTATTTGTTCAACCTGTATATGTTTATGAATAACATTATTTAAAGCGTGTAAACAAGTTCGATATGAAGCTCAATTCATGTTCGATACAGAGATCATGAATAAGCTAGTTAAAAAACTTGAAAAAAAAACTACTTAAAAACTTGATTAATATTTGATATGGGTTTGATTAAGTCTCATTATGAAAATGATAAACAATCTAATATAAATAATTTATATTTATTATAATTTAATAATATAGTAATCATTAGTTAATAAATTTTATAAATAATTTAACATTATATTATCTATTAGTTAAAATAAATTATAAATATATATTAAATTAATATTATATATAATTTAATCACAACTTTTATATTCATAAGTATCTATTTATTTGATATATTCTCACATAACTTTTAGTTTTATTATAATAAGTGATCATTCTTTTATAAAAAAATAGTTTCATTTTTGATGTTATAATATTTCATTAGAATGAATTTGTTCATGAACAAAGGGTATTTGTTTATGTTTATTGGATTGTTTGTTTCAAGTCTTCATGAATAAGTGTTTATAAGAAGAATCATTTTTTGAGCTCGTTTATATGTGAACGAGCTTGTTTGGTAGCTCGACATCACTCGTTAGATACGTTCACGAAGAGAATTTACATTAATTATTTATTAGTCGGTTCGATACGACTCGTTCGTTAAGCTAATAAAGCTTGTTAGTAACTTGATAAGGCTAGTTTGTTCAAAACTCGTTATGCACGAAATGAACTGAACACAAATCAAGCATAACGATTTATCATTTTAAATGAACTATAACACAATTAGAAAAGCTTGAATTGAGCGTGATTCGAGCCCGAACAAGCTGATAATAAACTAGCTTGAACATGCTCAAGCACCTGCTTGACCCAGCTTGGTTTGTTTGCAACGCTAACCACCAAACAAGGATAAATGCAAGAACATAATGATCAATGAAGACGTTCCCTTCAGAATCCCCAAAAGGCAGTGATCTCCGTTAAGGGAGTTGATTATAATGTCTTTTCACCCCTATAAAAAATCTTGGCACATTTTAGCATATATGAATTTTTCGTTATGTTAAGAGGCATCCGAGCTATAATCTAAGGTATACTAAACTCAGTGTAGTTTGAGGCATATTTTGTGTATTGGTGTATGAACGAGGTTATTCTTTCCTAGAATACTTTGATTATTATATTATGTGGAGAAGATCTTTTGTTGGGGACTTTTGAATGTAACCACCTTCTCTATATCACAACAAAGAACAATTACATCTTGATGAACCATATTCTAATTGGCATAGGTTCTTCAGTGAATCTCATTAGTCAACGAGCATTAAAGTGGTTTTCTCTTGGTATCCAACACCTCGGGTGGGATAAAGTGCCTGTATAAGGCTTCATCAAGCAAGGGTAGAAGACTATGGAATTTTTCATCCTGCCCTTTAGTTTTGAAAAGTTATACGTAGAAATAAAGTTTTATGTGGTCGACTTTGACACTTCCTACAGAGCTCTCCCAGGACGACTATGTTTCAGTAATATGACATCATTCCCTCCACTATGCATCAATGAATGAATTTCATAAAAATAAACCTAAGTACAAAATTATTTGCCACATTTAACTTTTCACAATTTATGAAGTTTAATTTTACGAAGATACACTTAATTCCAAAGGTGTCTATGCCAGCTCAATCTTCCAAAACTATTGCCCCAATCTCAAATTTGTTAACACAACCGAAAAAGAGGTTAACATAAAAAAAAAAGGGAAGAAAGAAAATAACTCTACTTCCCCCAAAACTTGTTAACATCCCAAACAAACTATCAAAAGGAAATGTTATCACCTGAGAAGTGATATAGACAAAGATGTTATCATCCTTCTCAAGCCAAAGAATACCCATAAATTTCTAATCAAGGGAAGGCATAAATAGGTTTATTTAGGCTCCAACCTTTTTGTAGGTTCACAATTATAAATTTTCATGTTTATGCGTTGTTTGTGCGTTTAAGCTTAGTTTGAGTGCATAAATATTGCATTTTGTTAATGTCTTTTAGAAGGTGCATATAGTTGTAACTAATCACTTGTTTCTTTTTTATGGTAACAGCGGCTAATGGATGGTTCAGGATGCGTGAAGATAAGAATAGTGTCGATGTCTTGGATAAAAGTTTCTCCATTGATGAGGAGATCTCTCAGCTTACTAAGCTCAGAACCGAACCCTCTGAAAACTTGCGGAAGACAACATTTCCCAGACAAAAACTACCCATCCCGATAGTTAGGATGCTATTTGGGAGAGAAGCTATGGGTAGGTTCACTATAGCTGATTGTTCACATGCTGTTGGTCGGTATTTACCTGTTAATGGTCCTTGGAGTATTGATAGTATGGATTCACGAGCATATGTCTCTCAGTTCTCTGATGATGGTTCACTTCTTGTTGCTGGATTTCAGGTATTATAACCTTCATACAACCATTTAATTCTGATGTATTATGTGCAGTATCCTTGATTCGATAATCCTTGTCTACACTTAGAACTTAAAGCCTGTATGATATTACTTTTAATTTTACTACATAATGATGTTTTTCAGGGAAGTAATATTAGAGTATATGATGTGGAGAATCAATGGAAGGTGCGTAAAAACATTCTTGCAAGAAGTTTACACTGGACGATTACTGACACATCACTTTCACCCAACAAACGCCTGCTTGTAAGTTTTGCTTTTTCATCAGTTATCTAGTTTTGCTTTTTCATCAGTTATCTAATTATTCTAGTTTTATTGTACGTGCATTAAATGCATGTGATAAAAGTTTTAAAAATAAAAATTAATATTATGAGATCTTTAATTATATATATTTTTTGATTAAAAGATAAAATTATTAATTTTATCCATATAAGCAATTCTAATTATTAATTATATTTGTAAAAGGTTATATATTTTTCTTATAACGTATAGAAAATGTGTTAATATAATTTACAATTCAATACTGAAAAATACATATTTTTTCTACATAGAATTAATAATTTAATAAAATTAATCAATTTGGATTTAGAAGAGAAGCTCAAAATTTTATTATAAATATGATATTATGATATTGATATACTAAATTAAATAGGCGAAAGGGAGAGCAAATTTATCTTAACTCATTCACAAAATAACAGTTTACCCATAATAAAATTTTATTATATTAAAATAAAAAAAACACGGATGAATTTTTGGTTCAACTGAAAGATATTGATTATTTGTGTCATGCTAAATATGTGAATAATGTAAAATGCAAACTAAGATATTTATGATGATGATGATAATCATCATTATAGTTACAATAGTAATCACATGCAATTGCCTACAATGGTAAGGGTTAGGGTCATTGAATTATGAGTCAGTTTAGGATGATTTATTTAAAATTAATGAAATGTATAAGAGAATATTCGTTGATCAATTTCAGATTGATAAATATTTTGATTATGCCTAAAATAGAAGGGGTAGAGGCTGATTAAGAAAATGATAAAAAATCAAGAGAAATTCGACCAAAATGAGTGTATATTAGATGTGCATGCATGGATTAACATATGTTCTGCAAATAGTTATGAGTTTTTTTTTTAGAAATATTTGGTGAAAAACTTTAGGAGGGTATGAATAAACAACAGCTAATATAGGACAAAATCTACAAAAGAAAATCTAAAAATTGCACTCAATTAGCATAAGATACATATGTGATTATCTAAATTGAAGTTTTAGAACTTACTTGACCACAGCTACTAAATAATTCTGCACTTGCTTCACTTGATGGTAATGGCATCTGACGGATCAATATTGTGTGTTGTCTCATCTGAATTACAAACTTATCTTTTTGAGAACCCTGTTGCTGTTGTAATTTCTCCAATCTTTGTTGGTCTAAGTGCTAAGCTTTATACTGCATTATTTGATTAAATTTTCCATCCCGAGCATGATCACAAGGCCAAAGCTTATACTCAATGGTTGAGGCCTTCTGGTTATATCTGTTTTATAGTTTTATACAAATAATTCTACACTCATATTACTAATGCAAAATAAATATTATCAATGAAATTAAACATAAGAATATATCCCTCCAATTTTAACTATAATGACATGAGGAGTAATCCAATCCCAGATGATCCTGTAAGTAGAAATGCATTTATAAGCACATAAAATTAGATTCAAAGGAACATATTCAAAGGGAACCCATAAATACAAAAGTTTCTTGATAGTATAGTATAGACAAAAACGCATTATTCCTAACCTAGAGTGCTATTCTTAACCAAAAACTACAGGTTCCATAAGAAAATAAGATTTATCTAAAACAAGAAAAGCCCACTTAAAATTGAAATATCATGTAAATTTTTAAAAAGTGGAGAGAGTTACACCATGATTATTTGGTAAAAATAATTATCGTTCTACTATTTTTTCCTTATATAAAATGATCACAACATTCGTTAAACAAAAAAGAAATAAAATAAAATAAAATCTGATATTAAAGAAAACATCTAAAAATTTCAAGATCTAATTTGAACTGCCCATACAATGAAAATATTCTCTGTTTGTCTGATCTACCACAACTCTATATAGCCATCGCTTATTATGATATAATTAACTCATAGAGTCATAGGCCATGTAATTTCTCTAAATGGGTAAAATTAAAAAAAAATGTGGAAAAATATTTACATTCCAGCCATTATTTAAATATGAGAGATTGGTTGGATCATAATATTGGGGAACATTTGATATTTTCTTGTTGGATCATAATGTTTGGCAGCAGTGCATACTTCTCTATGAAATAATAAATTTATCATTATTAATAATTCTACAAATGTTGTTGTTCTTAATGATAAAACAAAAAGAATCAAGGCATGATTCTAAAGATGATGTGATTCTTGATGATAAAATTGAATATTTTTTTTAATGCATATAATGCAAGTGTCAAATAATAAATGATTTATATGGATCAATTATTCTAAGTTGTTGAGTGATATGAAATTTAAAACATGCCATATAGAGTTTATTAAAGCAAATATATATCCTATAATATTTTATTCAAATTTCCATTTCTTCAATCCCTATTGCAACCCCTTTGCAGCCAATCAACTATATAGTAGGAAAGAAGCACTAACCAAATAAAATTGATAAGGGATGAAATTTTAGTTAAAAAAACTCAAAAAGAGAAATATGAAGATTTACTACAACAACAACCACAACATCAAGCCTTCCCACTACGTGGGGTCGGCTACATGAATCCTTTTTCTCCATTGTGTCTTATTAAAGGTCAAATTCTCGTTTAAATCTAACAAAGAAAGGTCATTCATAATATTTTCTAACCAAGTCTTTTTAGGTCTGCCTCTACCTTTCTTAACATAAGTCAAATCTAATACCTCTACGCTCCTACCTCTACTCTCCTAACCGGGTCATTGGCTACTGGAAGAAAATTATTTTATTTGGGAATCCCTATGAGCATTAGTGAATAGAACTTGAGTTCTTCATTAGGTGAATCTTGTAGAAAATGTTCTTAAGAAAAATATAGAAGTAATTGAATTTTTTAATGTTTTTGTCATTGTCAACTTAAAATTTTGATGCACCCACCTTAATGTAGATTAGTCCTTTATTATTATTTTTTTATGAATAAATCTACCTTTTTCTTCTCAAAATATTTCATTTTTTTTAAAACTTAAACTTAATAACACAATATTCTATCCTCATTTTCTTTAAGCTGTTGGTATGAACATTAGAGTTCTTAAAATTTCACTGATTTTATCCTTTTGAAGGCCACAAATGAAGATTTAAGCACTTCTTTTTTATATTCTAATTATATCCATATAAACATATCTATATATCATCACATGAATAAATAAATAAGCGCACTTATATATTACAAACTTGAGAAATCATTGTGTTTATAGTTTTACTCAAAGTGCATACTTTCTTTACAGTGATTTCAGATTGTGATGTCAGATTTGATAGGTCAAAGATAATAGGTTATTGCATTTATCAGAAGGAATTCTATATTAGTTACTGAAGTTGAAATAATAGATGCCAATAAGTACTAATATACCTCATTAAAAAGATGCTAAAGTCTCAATAACTTCATCATACAAGTTTAGATTTTGCTCTCAACCATAAAATGTGTTAAAGGTCACGGACATAATACAATGAAAATGGAACATAATGGATTTAAGACATTTCATTAGCAAGTGATCAAACTTAGAATACTTGAAATCCATCAAAATGTTAGTTAATTTCTAAGATTCAAAATAGGTAGGCATATATACAGTTGAGTACACATATATTATGGAAACTTATTATTTAACTTTTAAAATAAGCACCTACGAACCCATTGCTGGAATTTAAGAAGCTTGTTGTCACCTAGTATATGCCTCTATAAGTATTATAAAACCACTTTATATGCTTCTTGTCACCTTCATGTGTAGTAGAAGCTTAAATGTAGTATCTGTGTAAAAAAGAATAAAAGCAAATGTTAATCTTGCCTAGAATGTATCTATGATTCTATATTAGTAACTACATAAATACTTTTGTAATTATTTATTATAGTTGTAGTGTGGTAGCAGTTACAAAATCTTTGGATAAGAGTAAGGCAAGCATGAAAGTTAAGTAGACGAAATCTGGTTTCGCATAGTTATCATAAGAATTTGAAAAAAAAGTTTAGTAGAGTTGTAGTTGGATGCAAGTGATGCTTTTGGATAATTCTAACTCCAATAATATTAATAAGCACCATAAACTTTTGATATTATTAACCAAATAATATATATGTATGATTATGTAATTAATAATAATAACAAAGAAAAAAGGACTAAGAATAATCTAAAAATTAAGGAATGGGGAAGGTTTTTTTAACCTTGGAGGTGAAGACATATAGGTGAATTTACATCACTAAGAAGATGAAGTGAGCAAGAGTGATGGAATTGTATTACCCGAATAGTAAATATTTATAATTAAGTGATTAATAACAATAATTGAATATAACTGATAAATATCAACTAAGCTAGAGATGTTTAAATGTTCACGTGCAGTTGAATACAAATTTAAAAATAATAAGCATTATACGATGTTAAATATAGAATTCAATAAACAAGGAGTTATATTAAAAATTATTTTTCTTTATAAGTATATCTTAATTAAAAGAGAGAGATATTGATAGAGGTAAGCTGATGGAAGGGGAAGACTGGAAGACAACTAACTCATAACAAAATTCAAGGATTTAAAAGCTTGTAGACCATTAAGAAATCAATCTAATCTGCATGAAACTAACCACATTCCAGTCTACTGACATTTAGATGTAAGTTAAAGTTATATTATCGCTACAGGCACTAAAACATTCTACATTTGATATAACATGGGGTAAAACATTAATGAAAAAATTGAACTATCACAGCAATTAGTTAACTTTACTAATTTTTACATGCATCAACTTCTAGGAAATTTGGCACTTTAGATGAAATCAAGTAGTATACAATTTAATCTTTACTTCTTTGCAATCTCTCAGGATGAGTAGGTGGTTCACAGATGAATAAAGATCCAACACCACACCAGAATAAAGTGCTCTTAATGATTATAATGAGTTAATTTTTATTGAATTTAAATTTTCCTAGAAACATCTTTGATTAAATGAGCTTCAAAATAGAAACCATAGCAAAAAAGAATGAAAATATAATTCATAAGCTGAATTTGAATTTGTA